TTCCCCTGTTCCAGGGGAAGCAGCTCCCACAGGAAACAGCTCTCCACTGAACCTCTCCAACTTGTCCTTCCCACAGGCTGCAGTTCTCCATTAACTCCTGCAGTGTGGGTCACTCTTCACAGGGTGCAGTGCAGCCCCTCAGCCACAGGATCACAAGTCCTGCCAGGAACTCTGCTCTGGTGTGGGTCTCCTCTCTTCATGGGTCCCCAGGTCCTTGTCAGGAGGTTGCTCCAGCACAGACTCCACATGGGTTCACAGCCTCCTTTGGGAATCCACCTGCTCCAGTGTGGGTCTCCTCATGGGCTACAGGTGGATCTCTGCACCCTGTTAATCCTGTTCCTGCAAGGGAACAGCTGCTTCACCATGAACTTCACCACAAGCTACAGGGGATCCTCAGCTCTGGTACCTGGAGTATCTCCTCCACCACCTTCTCCACTGACCTTGGTGTCTGCATAGTGGTTCTTCTCATATTCTCACTCCTCTCTTTTCTGGCCACAATTACTTCTGTGCAATAACTTATTTTCTTTCTTAAATATGTTACCACAGAGGTGTTACTACCATCACTGATTGGCTAGGCCATGCTGCAGTGGTGGGGCTGTCCTGGAGCCACTGGCATTGGCTCTGCCGGGCATGGGGAATCTTCTAACAGCTTCTCACAGAAACTCCTCCCTGTATCCTCACCCCTGTAGCCTCCCTACTGCCAAAGCTAGACAAGGCAAAACCACAACATTGACACAGGATATAGCTATGCCAGGCATCTTGAGCAACTGGAGAGCCAGAAGACCATCCAGTCTCTGGTTTTCTTTCATGTCCTGAGCATAAGGCCTTCCAAAGAACACTTTTCCGTGGGGACCTAGGAGTCCTGCTGTGACAAAACAAGAAAAATAAGAAAATTAGTCATAATCCTGTGAAAATGTACACATGCTTATGACGGGATCTTGGATCAAGGGATATGAGTTGGCAGCTTCTGAAGGTCTGGAAGATAAATGGCAAAGGTCCCCACACAGCTTAGCTTAGAGAAATCTCTTGCCATATGTGAGTGCGTCATCTTTGGAAGGGGCCCATTTGTGGTTTAAGAGCGAGCAGGAGGACTGACCTGCATGGTTTTCACTGGAAGCTGATGCCTGCTTCCAGGACTTCATGTAGAAGCAAGCAGGGCTGGACATGCATCAAGGGGGACCCATACTGAAGCTTCACTGGGAAATTTGGTTGATGTCAAGACTTGAAAAACAAAAGAGCTGGAGATGGCTGTAACCTGGGAGTGATGGATACTTTTTCCCGTGTTCATAGCATTCCCTGAGAGGGTGTGTGGCTATTTACTTTGTGCACATAGAGGATGGTTTCTTGTTTTATCCATATTTAGTAGGTGTTTTTCAAGGTTCACGTTAAAAAAACCTAAAGCATCAAAATATCCAAAAAACCCCCACCTTTATTGGCTGACATACTTTGAATAGAGAAGAATCTCCTCTCTCCTCCTTACTGTATTTATGGGAACTGCTGGCTATACTAAATATTATCTTTGAAAACATCTCTGTTTAAATTTATCCTCACATAACCCTTCAGCCTGGGCTGTGGCATGTGAAATGGGGCTGAAATGTCCTCACTCTGCCTACTTGTGCTACCATCAGCTTCTGCCTCATTGTTTCTAGGATCCATTAAAGAAACCAGCCCATTCCTTGATGCTGTGTGTACACAGGGAATTGCTCTGATTCACGCGAACCCATGAATTATTATGTCCCTGAGAGTATTGTCTCTGACAAATACGCGTGCTCTACAGTGTACTCCAGTTAACTTCTGGCAGTGGAGGCCTGAAGAGTTGTTATGAAAACTGCTTCCCCCTGAGCTGTAGGTATAAGGAATGTGCTAAAACAACAGTCAGTTTTCAGAGAATTGAATGTCTGTAAATAGCTTCCAAACCACCAGCTCTCCTCTGGGAAGAAAGGATACTTTCTTATCTAGTCAAAATCTGTTTCATCTTCTGCTTTTGCCAAGGAGCAGTCAAGGCTGGGAACAAGTTTTGTAACTTGACCGAAGCTTGAGGGAGTATCGTGCAAGAGGTACTTGTACCCATTGTTTTCTAACAATTCTCAGTGGTTTATCGATGCTATCATCAATGTGCTGGCTACCCTCCTGACTCCTTCAACACTTACTAAACTAAATCAACATAGTTAGGAATATTACTGTAGGCATAGCAGCAGCAATTTACAGCATTTCTGGTAGGGCAGCCCTAGGTGTCTGGCAGACTGGATCTCTGATAACCTGGGATTCGAGTGACTTGGTAGCTGAAAAGAAATGGGGAAACTTTGCCTGGTTTTAGAAGAAAGGAAAGAAACAGTGCTGTTAGAGAACTGAGAATAAGCAATAATTGATTCTCCCAGAAGAAAATCTTGCTTTAGGTATCTGTAACTTGTATGGTGTTCAGAGACCAGAACTGGACTGCTGACTTTCAGGTGCAGTCTTTGGCAGAGGAAAGCACCTCTGGGGCAAGAAAGCAGACCTCAGCTCAGCAAATTCTGATAATTGCATGCCCTCTTCCCTACATCTCCTTCTGGCCGCTGATATGTCACCTGGCATGACTGTTCCAAGGGCAGGGAGGGCCACCTTTGAAAGGTGTCTTGGCAAGACTTTCAGGGTTTATTATACTAATGAGGCTTCATTTGATTGGAATGGGGAGGACAGACCTGTCTTGATCTAATCAGAAGGGCATTTGCTGAATATGGTGCATTGCTTTGTCAGAGCTGTAATTCTGTGTAGAGCAGTGACTTTAGAAGAAAGCAGCCATCTGTTGGCCTGGAGTATAGGCCAGATTTTGCCCTTTTCCAGTGGGATATGAACTTAAATTCCATGCGGGAGGTCTGACTTGAGAGGAGGAGGCAGAGTACAGATAATAGCAGGCTTGGCTTCCTCACAGCAGAGTATATTTGTCATTCCATGATCTAATTGTTGCTGAAGGAGTTCTAGCAGGTAAGTGAAAGCATCTTGATTCTGTTCTGCATGGTGGTAGTTTGGTGAACAAAGCATTGGCTCCCTATCTGTGGAAGACATGAGGAATCTATAGGCTGTGCTACAGCCGCAGATTCACTTCTCTCCCTCCCCCTCCAAATGAAGCAAGAAACAAAAGGGGGAAGACAGAGTTTATTGTAGCAGCAGCTCCAGACTTGCCACATGGCACTTTAAATGTCATCTTGAAATGACATTTCAAGGCAGGGTGTACACAGACAAAGAATTCTTCTTTGATAGAGACTAATTGACTTGAAAGATCCAAGTTTTAAAGATAGCCCTTTTGTGAAGGAAATATGAGCATAGTAGTGACATGAAACTGAGGAAAACCCCTCTTTTCACTAGGATGACTACAATGTTTAATGACAAGTCTACATATTTCCTTCCATAATGCAGCTAGTGTTTTGTCTGAGTAATTGGAAGTGTGAGTTATGGCTGTTTGAGTCGTGTGTTTCTCTGGTCAGTGCTGGCATGTTGCTTTAATCTCAGAAGTACGTAAGGATCTGAAAGTCATACTGTCTTCCCTAGTAGTAGGAGTACTAACCCAGGTGTCCTGTCTGTGCTTACAGGGTACAAGAGAGTACAATAACCACCTCTGCACTTCTCAAATCTGGAGTTATCCGTCAGTTTTGAATTTCTTTGGGAAACTTGGCCAAATAAAAAACCTAATCCCCCTTCAGTGTGAATATTCATTTAACTGAAGAAGCTGTGGCTGAATAGAGTTTCCCTCAAAATGAAAAGTAGTCCCGTTGTCAAGCGCAAAGAAACATTAGTTTCTACAAATTTGTTTTTACCTGGGAACTCTAGATGTTTGTGTAAGGAATAGCATGATAGAAATGTTGAAATACGTCTCCGTGTGGGTTTTTTTGGTTGGTTTTATTTTGTTGGTTCTTTCGTTCTTTTCTCAGGATTTTTTGTTTGTTTGGTTGTGATATTTTTGATTTTGCTCTTATTTTTTTGTGCTTTTTTGTTTGTTTGTTTTTGCAGGGTTTTTTGGTGTTTCTTTTTCTTTACTCCATCACTCACACAGCTGTTTTTATCTCAGTGTGTTCTCCTTTAGTACACACAGATCTTTAGTCTCAACTTTCTTTCACGAGTATTGGAGTTACGCATTGCAATTGGTATTCATCCAGGTCCAAAGTTACCATTGGAGGTCTTGCAGGTTAAAACCATAGTAGGTTGGTGAAATATGTGTTCTACTGGGTCTTCATTAAAAATGAGAGTTCAGCTTTGTGCTTACTCTATTCCCAACTGTGCTTTGTGTGTTTGTGTACGAGTCTGGTTTTGCAGTGACGGTGCCTGATAGGCTATGGATGAATCCCTCAGTCCTCAGGTATGAGCAGTGTCACATCCTGCAATTTTAATTGCTGTGCTCTGTACTGTCAGAACATTATATGAGGTTTGCAAGTTGTTTTACATTCCTCCTCGTGAGCGTGTTTGCCTGCCGGCTGGGTGTCAGGTTTGCTGTGCCTCTCCAGGTGGCTGAAGCAGCATTTGATTTATTTATCCTAGCTGTCTAGTACAGTCTGCTGTGTCTTGGAGACCTACTGAAAGGTGTTGGGGGGGTGTAGGAAGACTGGCTCCCTTGAAGATGTTTTGAAACAAATCCTCCAGATGCTATGTCCTCTGGGGCTGTCTTGAAGGGAAAAGTTAAAATTAATTGTAAGCTAGGCAGTCTTCACACCTGAAACATTAGACGGTGAGTGAAAAGTTCTAGTCTCTCTATAATGCAGCTTCTTATAATATTTCTTCTGCAGAAGATTCTCTTTTCTGCCCCTGTTACTTTGTGAACTGTGAATACTTGGTAAGATTCCTAAATGCTAGAACATGTAAAAAGTTGCTCTTCATTTCTAAATTTCCCTTTTTCCTTTCCAGATGCCATAGATGTTTGGCTCAACACTTACTGTTTCTTGCTTTCTCTGTTTTTTTGTAGACCAAGGTGCTCCTGATCAACCAGATCTTTCAGAAACTTTTAAAAAAGAAACTTTGGTGGGTAAAAGATGTGCCATGGAATGGTAGCACCAAAGAGCAACACAGGGTCGTCTCTTGCCTTGACTAGCCATGGGTTATTTCGTCTGCTAGTTATCTTTGGTACCTGTGTCTTGGAAGCACAGGCCGCAGGTAAGTGAAACCTTTACATATGCTTCAGGGAGGGGGAGATGTGTAAGTTTGGCAGTGGCCTTATATTTTTATGGGAAAACTGGTGGTGGTTGATGCATTTGTACCCATCTTTCAGTAGTCGCAGGAAAAAATTCCATTGCTACTTGTTAAGCAGAGCACAGTGTCTGAACTGAACAGCTCTTGCATATTAGTAAATAAGTGCTTGTCCTTGATCCTGTAATTTTGATTCCCACAGCTTTTTTTCCCCCCTCCATTCTCATCCCTTCATTGCAGCTGGTGGCACTTGAACCATCTCAAGAACATCCACCATGTTTTGGTTGAGTGAGATACTCATGTAGACAGTCTTATCTGTGTGCCCTGTAGCAACATGTGAACTAGTAGAAACAGAGACTGTTTTCAGCCCCTTGCACAGCCAAAGAATCTGTTTAGTGTTTCCTTGTGTGCAATCTTCTGACACCTCAACACCTCCTACCTGCACCCTTCTATTAGATCCTCTTTTCAGCTTAATTTTTCCCTCTCCCCTTTTAAATTCTTGATATTTCTCTGATTGATAAGTGTTGTGAATAGTGTAAATAGCAGTGGAGTGGGATGAAATTTAAAATGTCATTAGAGTTGAGGGATCTGCCTTTTAAGAAATTAGTGGAAGAAGAAAATTTACCAGACACTCACAAGGTAATGTGTGAAGTGAAATATGTGCTTGTTTACCCAGTATAGCCTGAAATATGTCTTTTGTTCTCAGACCAGCCATTTTGTCTGTGGAGAGATGCCTGGGCATAGGTGGCATGGGAGGGAAGGAATAACTTTGTATGCTCTTTCACAGAACTTTGAAAGAGGCTAGTCCCAAAAAGGCACATAGATTTGTCTTCAGTAGCTGTTGCAATGTAGAACAATAACTTGCCTTTGAAAAGAAAACCTCAGTTCTTGACATAACTCTAAAAAGTCCTGTTTATTTGATATATCATGGCTCCCAAAAATGTCATATGACCAACACTCCTCAGCATCAGTGAAGATTGAATCAGTCTCTGTGTGGTAGAGCAGAATAAATATTAGCTGCCACATGCACCCAAAGTTGAGGCGACCCTATATTGGAAAAGTCTACTGATGCTTAAAACTGCTGGAGGAAGAGTTGATTTCCTCTTGAGCTGAAAGGGAAAGACTGGTGAAATCAGATATCCCAGACTAGTATGTCTTCCTGGCCTGACTTTGGCTTTGTAGGTAATGAGATCTGAGAGGACACATATGAAAGTGACAGATTGGCATGGATCTTTTTAGATCTGGTTTATCCTTGGGTTTTTCAGCCTTGCTGTTGTGGGTGATAGTGTCACTGCCTCATTTCAGACATAGGCCTGTCAGATACACCTCCCAGCCCGAGGCTGGAGTGCACCATCGCCATCTGAAACTCCTGTTATGCACTGCAGCACCTTCAGTTGGGTCTGTAATCAATATGCAAATGCCTTGCGCTGCGCATGGCTGCTGGGTGGGGAAAAGCTGCCACAATACTGGCAAGCCTTTTTTAATACAATTTTTGAGGCATCCAGTCACTTTACAAGACCACTAGTTAAGCATGTCAGAAGATCTGAGAAAGGTTCTGCATTGTGTTTCCCTTTCTGTGTTCTATTTTCTTCAGGATCTGAAACCAGCTGTGGTGAACTGATCAAAGCAGATCATCAGCTAAATAGGATTATAGTGGCGAGGCATGAACCATTTCCTGCAGGGGAAGTGAGAAAGTGGAGGGGGGCTGGGATCACAGCAGAGGGCAAGACATGCAGGGCTAAAACTCCTGGGGAAGGGCTGGCTGAGGAGGCTTCTGTGGCCAGGCTTTCTGAGACTGGGAGG